GAAAGGCGAGACCAATGATTTAACATTATCAGGTTCTGAAGGATGTTTGAAGTATTCATCACCGGGTGCCCATTTTGGGACCACCGCTCCCATACAAACTTCAGTTCGGGGTCTTCTTTCTGCATTTGGATTAACTGATCTTTTGTGTAAGATGGAAATATGCCAGAAGAGCTAGGCTCTGCAAACGACTGTTGGTCAGGATTGTCACTATGCACACGTACAGGGGAACTACAGTATTAGTATCAGTATTAGTATGAGCCAATATAAAGTTATTATTCTTTATTCAGTATGATGCTTTCCCTCAAAAATAGGTCCGCTATTTTTTTTGGGGGTTGAGACGCTAAGAAATGGTTTCAAATGTACTTTACACAGACCTTGAAAAATTGCATAATGATGGGGGTTCTTTCTCTCTCTCTCTCTCTCTCTCTCTCTCTCTCTCTCTTTATTTATTTTAATCATGCAGTATTAACTACATAGAAAGCAGCAACAAAAAACTTAGGGTTATCAGGGGCCCGTTCCTAGAAACCGTCAAAAGTCTAACTTCTTGACTATCCCATTGAAACGTGTGTCATAGAACACACGTTTCAATGGGATAGTAAAGAAGTTGGACAGAAGTTGGAGAAATGTCACATCACCTGCCCGAGTTGCCCCCCTAAAAACAATAGTGGTCCCTCCTCTCCAGCACCCCCCCCCGCTTATTCACCGGCCGGTTGAGTCGGCGCAAAAATTGCCCCCCCCCCCCCCTCTTGCCGCCGACTGGATCAGCCCCTGCTCGTGAGAATGAAAATGGGGAATCCGTTGAAGGAAAAGGGCACCTATCAGATTTTAATTGGGCATTTATCAGATGTTAATAGGGGCACTTATTACTAATTATCTGAAGTGAAAAGTGGCATTTTAGAGAAAGCTAGAAAGGGGTTTCTTATTGATAAGGAAAAAGTACACTTAATTAAAAAGGAAAAGGGGCATTTAATTACTTTACTTTACTGTAATACACAATGTTGTAGGTCTAAGCAGTCCATCGATCCAGGATTCTTCCATGGTATACTGTTATTTGTGGAGCGAGGAGATTGTGTGCTAAAATGATCGAGTCAAATTTATTTAAAAAATGGGCAAAAATATCAGAGGTGACACATAAGACGTTACCAGAGATGAAAAGAGAGAAAAGGACAGTTATTAGACAAGAAAAGTGGCTTTTGGGGCGTACCTGAAAAATTTGGGGCAACGGCTTAGCTAGCGCTAGTAACACCTCCCCCCCCCCGCCCCCTCCCCCTCCCCCTCCACTCCCCTCCCCCCCCCCCCCCCCCCCCCCCCCCAATGCACCGAGTGCCACCTCTGGCATAATGGGCAAAGGAGAGAGGAAAACAAAACGGAAAATCATGTCATTCATTTCAGCAATATTTTTGGGGTAAATCACTGGAATCGAATTAGAAATGTACCACGTTTGAATGTTATTTCCCCTCCACCCCCCCCCCCCCCCCATCAGTGCTTTCGGTAACAGATATATTTTGTAGCGCTTGTTAATTGATATTTACTTTCCACTTGATTGTTTTACATTTTGCTTTCCATACTCGAACACCTCCCCTCCTTTGCATCTCATATCGCTGGTCCTGGGAATTGCTTTTTGCATAACTGCTGTCTATTTTAGCTATTCTCCGTTTGTTTCGGATCGTGTTTCTGTCTATTCTGCGTGAGTATGTTCATGATTATATCACATGTCATGTTTTCTTGACCACTCTCCTTCTTCTTCTTCGCTATAAAAAAGTACAGCTGCGCGGTGGCCTGTAGCCTAGACCCAATACAGTTACAGGCCACCGCGCCCGTCACGTCGGGTGGGGGTATTCTCGTACTGGTGAAGGTGCTGTGGCGCATGTGCAGGTGTATACAGTGCAGAAAAACGAAGCCGAGAATTATGGATATTTTTATTATATCTTAATCACTCATATTTGTAAAGCTTAGACCCTCCTCTTTCATTTGATGCCACCCAGGCGGATGACTGAAGCCTGCTTTGTGTTTTAACGTGCCCCTCCCCTCCCTTGTTCATCATGTTCATAGGCGGTTCCATGACACATGCTCCGCCGACGATTGCTCCGCAAAACGCGACAATTGCTCCGCGACAGTTGCTCCGCGACAGTTGCTCCGCCGACAGTTGCTCCGCCGACATTTGCTCCGCCGACAATTGCTCCGCCGACATTTGCTCCGCCGACAATTGCTCCGCCGACAATTGCTCCGCCGACATTTGCTCCGCCGACAATTTCTCCGCCGACAATTGCTCCGCAAAATGCGACAATTGCTCCGGTGACAAATGATCCTCGAACGACAGTTGCTCCGCCGACAATTGCTCCGCAAAACGTGACAATTGCTCCGGTGACATTTGCTCTGCCGACAATTGCTCCGCCGACAATTGCTCCGCCGACATTTGCTCCGCCGACAATTGCTCCGCCGACATTTGCTCCGCCGACAATTGCTCCGCCGACAATTGCTCCGCAAAACGCGACAATTGCTCCGGTGACAAATGCTCCTCGAACGACAGTTGCTCCGCCGACAATTGCTCCGCCGACATTTGCTCCTCTAAAAAAGTGCCCCGTAAAATACAAAGGCTACTACGACAATATTATTGTTGCTCCTCCCCAGAAGTACCCCGCAAAAGACAATGCTCCGCCGACAATTAAATTGCTCTCTGATCCAAAAGTGCGGCCTCGTGGAAGACATGAATGCTCCTTTGGCAATTAGTGCAATAAATGCTCAACAGTTTTGTGCTATTCCCCATAATGTTTGATTTAAAAAACATCAAGTTTTAGCTCATGCAAGTTCTCCGGAGAAAGATAATTACTCCGCTCAAAATCTGTTTCATTTATTACTCATTAGCCGATCCAAAGCTCAAGGTTATCTCTCTCTCTCTCTCTTGCTCTTCCTTTTCCTTTTTATACCCTTTTCTTGTCTTCTTAGCTCTTTTCTTTCCTCTCGTGCTATTAGTCTTCTTTCATTTTCATCACTTCTTCTTTTTTTCCCCTCTCGAGTTCTATTTCTCTCGTGAAATTCTAACGTAATGTAGTACATGTAGTACATTCTTGTTTATGAAGCGATCCACGGCGAGACGGCCCGGTGGCCAAAGCCGCCCCGCCTAGTACCGACTCAGAAAATGTTAAAGTATAACTTTAGTTCTTGAAGTGTAGAAAACGAAGATAAATTGATTCGACAAAAACTAGAAATCCGACGGAGCGTACGCCGATACAACTCATAAAATCAGGACGGGTGCCCAGCCCTAAAACAGTAAAAGTTTGATAATTAAAATTATTAACTCTCCAATTTGATGTAAACGACTAATTACCGTGATAATTAACCGTCAATATTACGGTCCCTTCAATAAAAATACGAAATATCCGACTGTACATAGAATATCTCAAAATTTGTAGATAATCAGCGCAAAACTGATTTTGGTAAATTAAAAGGGTTAGAATGTCTACCCTTAGTTTGTCTTTGCGACCTTTTTGGGATGGCACCATCCTGATTCCCTGGAACATTAACATTATCATCTCTGGCTCGCCCTGCTACATCCTCCCCTACTGGATCTATACCTACTTTATCAAAATTAGGAACCAACATATACTCTCCCCTACTGGATCTATACCTACTTTATCAAAATTAGGAACCAACATATACAACATATACTCAAAGGCCCTAGATCTTATTAATTCATAGGTCTTATTTCTACCTTGATGTCCCCATTCATCATGACATCCTACCAACACATTCTTACGTAAACATTGAGGAAGTAAAACTTGGAATATCTCCCCAAATACAGGGTCTAGCACTCTTCTTACTAACAAACCATCTTTCAATGAAAGGCGAGACCAATGATTTAACATTATCAGGTTCTGAAGGATGTTTGAAGTATTCATCACCGGGTGCCCAATTTTGGGACCACCGCTCCCATACAAACTTCAGTTCGGGGTCTTCTTTCTGCATTTGGATTAACTGATCTTTTGTGTAAGATGGAAATATGCCAGAAGAGCTAGGCTCTGCAAACGACTGTTGGTCAGGATTGTCACTATGCACACGTACAGGGGAACTACAAGCATTTAATTGTACTTTAACAGATGAGGATTGATATGATTACGATCGTAAAAGGCCTGTTGCAGAGACTGTACAGTCTGTGTCTTACCAAAGTGGTTCTGCAAAATAGTAACTATTTGATTTGTATCTAGTGTTTCAGAATAACATCGTAACTCTTTACGTGCCGGCCCCTCCAAATGAGCCGTGATCACACTGACCTTTTGGGTCTCTGAAATTTGTGACTGTTCACAATATAGGTCAACCTCTTCTAACCAATCTTCTAATAACATACCACCCTGCCCTGAAAATCTATCCAACCTAGCGGTTGTCCTACCAGTAGGTGTAATCCGGATACCCTGTAGGGCTTCGGTAAAACCCGTTACCAAATCTTTAACTAACTCTTCAGCCATAACTATTATTATCTATCGTAAATATTATTAAGTAATTAGTCTAATATGAACATTAAGGCAAGGGATGCAACCTCGGTTACCATACATAGCATAAAACCACTAAATACTGCTTACCTTAATTTTTGGAAGAGATGTATACTAGGCGAGCCAGAGTGAAACCAGAACCATATTCTTAGTTACCATATGTATATATGAAAAAAACACACCTTCACTACTGTTCTCGTTTACAAGGATTATATAAATTTACCAGTCAATTAATGAATTATGCCGTCAGATAATACACTAAATGTTCTGAGTAATGGTATACATCAAAAGACGTATCTAATTGTATATAATGCCATACGCAACAAGGCATAGAATAATTATCATATATAGATAAAGTGTTCTAAGTTCAAGACATACCAGAGATGTCAATCCGCTGCCTGCATCCGTCACCCTCAGAAATACTCCCTCCTAGTGATGTCTGAACACGCCTTAGATCGCCGTAAATACACAGTCTTGCAGACCCTCTCGATGGCGATGATGTTGTGTCACGTCGATGTAGTTGACTGCAAGACTTTACGTCTACGGAGATCACAGGACGAACCGTTAGGCTACGCAGAAAACCCGTAGACCAGCTACGAGACCAGCTGAACATACCTAGTTTCCCGGCACCGCGGCCTTCTAATTCACCGGAACGATGCAAGCATGCAACACTGAAGGCATGTGCCGCCGACCATGAATGAAGTGACGATATCACCTCCCCGCTGACACAAGCAGCGAGCCCCTTCAAGATGACACCCACGCAGCCCTAAAGTACTACCGTTTTCCCAGCATAAAAGAATCACCAGCTACGCTTCCACCGTCGCTTCGTCGCGCTGTAGCTCTGCGGAAATTAGCTCCTGGGCCCCCTCGTCAGGAAACCACCAGCAGAAGAAAATTTCACTCCTCTCAATACTCTTCGATGCTGAGCGGCCGACAAAAAAAAAGTTAGTTCGAAGCCCAGGGGTTCTTGGACTCCGTCCTCGTGACAACCCCAACAGATCCACATATAACTAGTTGACGGATGTGAGCTAAAAAAAATCTCTGCAGCTCTCCGCTGACGTCGCTAATATATCTTGAAGTTCAATGGTAATGGTTGAAGTAATAAACAAGTGTCGCACCCCATCCGTACGCTACCAATTGAAGCGATCCACGGCGAGACGGCCCGGTGGCCAAAGCCGCCCCGCCTAGTACCGACTCAGAAAATGTTAAAGTATAACTTTAGTTCTTGAAGTGTAGAAAACGAAGATAAATCAAAGTCACTAAAACAAATTCTTGATTGGAGTTGAAGATTTATTAAAATAAACGTAGAATTAATAAAATCACGAAGTTCATGTTTTGGGGCTGGGCAACCCAATTGACGCAAATTAGCAACTCATGTCAGTATCGTAACGGAAAAAAGAGGTCCCGCTCCAGAGACGCAACACGGTTTTTATCCCCCGAACTGACACGCCTCGTCCTCCCAAAAATTGAGGCGTGTCACACAGACGCTTTGCGAAATATCAATCCACCCATAATTAGTTTCCGTATTAAAAGGTCCTATATTTCTTGGCGAATTTACCCCCTCGGATATAAGGCGCTCCGGATGATCCGCATCTCTATTCCTCACATACTTCTTTCACGCACCCACCTGTGTCTCTTACATTCTAATCTTTCAAACAAGAGATGCAAATCACCCGGAGACCCAACAACCCTGGAAATTAATTCAATCAATATAAAAAGGGATAAATGTTGCTATGTCCGTCCACACTAGCGAGCCCACATGCTTCTGGCTATTACACACCTGTAATCCTCACTTCCTCTCTCATACTATTTCGATAGTGTGAACAGACCCGGCAACAAGGAAAAACCCTTCCAATTGTAATACAAATCTATTTCCCAAATTTGCCTAATTAAATTTAAGTCAACTGTGGCGACACGCCCAGCGACACCTAATCCAATCGGCCAAGCCGAAAAAGTAGAGCCAAAATTAAGAGCGCAACGTCTTGGAACAGGCGTTAAAAATAGCATACAAGGAATTCACCATGTATGTTTGTAAACATAGTTCTAGCGAAATCTACCAGGAATTTGCCTTGTACATGTACGTCAATGAACCTTTGAGGAAAACGTAAACACGAGAATATCCATATCATTACATTTAGAATAGTATTTTCAATAATATCCAGTCCGTTTTCTATAGTATAGGTTTCTTTCCTTCAGTTAA